ACTAAACTTTTTCTATCAGTTGTCGGTTGACGAATCTCAAACCATCACACCCATAGAATACTATAGTACACAATATAATGGCTGTCACCTTTATTTTCCATGAGGTTTGGCGTCGCCAAACCCGATTCGCTGTGTTGACAGACTGAATAAATTCACACATTTAGACTTTTGATTAATGTTCAAGATCATCATTTAAAAAAATATTTAAATTTTAATACATATTTATTTGTAAATAATGTGCAGTTTGGCATTTTTTAAATAATTTGCATGCGAAATTTGGAAACGATTGTAACGTCAAAACACATCTCGTGTTGACATTTATACGTGTGAATTGACGTGTTAGTAACATTTTAGTGGCTACACGGGCCACGCCCACTCCCCCGTTCTATTATGTATGTATTATAGTATTCTATGATCACACCACGTCATTTTAAAATATTATTATAAACATCGTATAAACAGTGATAGTAGAATAAAAACTGTGTATTTGCGGTGTAAGAATACTTATATCGATTAGTGAGTTTCGTCGATAAAAGAGAGAAACGAACAAGGAAGTCGACAGCAGTGTCTTCCTAATAACAATAAAAATAAAAATTGTGGTTGGCAACACGCCCGCCAAATGTTGCAGTAACGTCAAATATTCCCAGTGAGCAGTGAGAGGAATTAAATAAACAAGATAAGAACATGAGGAAAACAAGAGGCTGGGATACCACCTGCTTGACCTATAAAACCATAGTTATCACCAAACAAGGTTTAGGAAAGAAAATTCAGCAGTGAACTTTTAATAGTTTGTAACCGTAACATAATAAAATGGAATGCAAAATCTTTATTCGTTATTTGAATACCAGCGTAAAATAGCCGTTTAATTCTGCTGTGTTTTTTTATAGGATAGAGTCACAAACGAACACACAGTCCACCTGATGGTAAGTGGTTGCCGTGGCCCAGGGACATCTACATCTATCCTCGTTTACAAATCAAAATGCAGATGCGTTGTCACCCGTGAGGACTAAGATGTAATGCCTCGTTTCTAGTAAAAAGGGTCTCCAGTTCTCTACACTCACCATACGAAACACAGCAGCATTAAACTAATATTTTATGCTGGTATTCTGAAAGAGCGTGGTCCTTCCCCGTTCAAGCCGACCCATTCGCGCTACAACTAAACTACTAATTAAACTGCAGCATGGCTCTACCACGTATACACGATCTCCACACTCACAATAGTATTTCGTATGGTGAGTGTAGAGATCCGGTGACCCTTTTTTACTGGAAACGAGGCAATCCATCTTAGTACTCACGGGTGACAACGCATCTGCATTTTGATTCTTAATCGAGGATAGATGTAGATGTCTATGAGCCACAGCATCCACTTACCATCAGGTGGACTGCGTGCTCGTTGGTCACCTTTGTTCTATAAAAAGAAACTTACTGATCTACCTCTTTAATTTATTAACAGCCCTTCACGAGTCTATGTGCTGAATCTGATTGCAGGATTTTTTTTATAATTAAACCTTACAGAATATCTTGTCACATTTGAATTATTTGGCACGAGCGTGGAAGTTGGACTTTGACAGATTGTAATGTTGATTAAAACTACTTTTACGGATTTTATCGCGTTTATTTTACTATTATTTTTAATTCCCGACGTTTCGGACGCTTTCCATATACAAATATACAAAGAACATATAGCTGATGTGAAGCATCAACGTTCCGGGAAGTCTGCAGTTTGCGATCATATCCTAGACGGCCCCAACCATTACATCAGATTTGATAGACCACAAATCCTCGCGAAAGAACACCGATTCCTACCAAGGATGATACGTGAGGCTATTGAAATTAAAAAAATATCCTAATTTCAATAGAGAAGGAGGCTGGGTACTACCACCTGCTTGGGATCCTATAATCAATAAAATTAAAACTAAACCCAAGCATACCACTGCAAGACCTCATGACAAAGTCAGTTCATTTTGCATAGATCAGACCATAAACAATAATTAAAAAGCTGAAGGTACTCCGGGTTTAACAATGACATCGGGACGTCAGTCATCTCAGTCCCCCGTGACCACGGGTGCTGGAAAGCGCCCGAAACGTAAATATAAACGTTCGCGTAAATATAATTCATCATTAGATTGTAATGTATTAAGGAGTACATAAATACTGAATTATTAATCAACAGCAAAAACTTGAGATATGATAAAATTCGAAGTCTGTTCTTTGCGGTATCGTTAGAGGTAATATTCAATGACCTCACGTGGCATCAGGCACGAGGGTGACCCCACATGTTATCTATATTCTTATCATAAAACATTAGTTTTTTTTCGTGTATTCTAGATTATTTTTGGCTGACTTCAGAAAAGGAGGCGATTTACAACTCCACTGTTTTTTTTTAATATCGAGTATGTTAAGCGAAATCTTTGGAAAATGTGAACCAATTAATTAATTAAGAAATTATTATTATTATAATGTCATCTAAAAACCAATTTGCTTTTAAATGGGGAGGAATTTAGTCTTGTGCATTAAACTGTTTTTCTTAGAATTACAATTGACACGAAGCTTCAAACGGGCCCCCTTATATCTAATTATATATATATATATATATATATATATATATATATATATATATATATATATATATATATATATATATATATATTCCGCAGCATATACCTTATTAGTTCTGTAGTATATGCCGTAAGAATGATAAGAAGTCTCACCAATGAGACATGAGAATGCCGAGACAGTTAGATTAGTTTATTTTAGTGAATTCCATAGCGTAATGTCTTATGGAATTTTGCAAAACAAGGCCGTACTGGCAATATATAACTTAACTTATAAAGAGTCCCTCAGTGAAATTTTAAATAAATAAATGTAATAACGTTAGCTTCGAAACATATTTATGAAATTGTAATGTATGTAAATAAAAACATGAGTAGCTTTGATAAGAATAAGTTGCATCGAATTGCATATAATGTTCATGTTTTAAATACCTACCAGAACTACTAGACTGCCTCGTTGGTCAAGTGATTATAGTAGTGCGACTGCTGATCGTGAGGTTGAGTTCTGAGTTCGAATCTCGGGTCGGGCCAAAAATCAACTATTGAGTTTTCCGTCAAGAAATTCTCTGTAGCTGCCCGGAGTCAGGAAGTTGGCAATGTCTCCCCCCGTGCCTCGGAAAGCACGTAAAGCCGTTGGACCTGCGCCTGATCTCTCTCCGGTCGTGTCGGTTTACCGTCCCATCGGATTATGAGAGTGAGGGAATAGAGAGTGCACCTGTGTTAGCGCATACACTTGGGTACTATAATCCTGTCCCGCGCCGATGGCTAGTCTCCGTTGAGGCTGGCCGCCGTGACCGAAATTCGGTCCGGAGGACATTATTATTATTATTATTACCTAGCAGAAACAAATATAGGCCTGTTATGCTAGTCACTAGACTCCACAGATTTATAAATTCATTTATGGCACAATGTGATACGCTTTTACAACAAAATTCAAGAAAATACTCAACACTTGTCAATCATCAAGTTTGAAAGTTTTATTGAAGAAAACTATATAAAAAACAGTCTTATATTACGGAATCAATAAAAATAGCCTCCGTGAATGACGTGATTGCTATATAAATAATTGTACTAAATGATTGCAATATTATCTACTAATGTAATTAGTTTGTGCATTATGCGCTACCATACGCATACCGTTCATTATATTGCGCTAAAACATCAACTTGTTGCTTGCATTTGCGTGAAGGTTATAGGTATAGTATAGTGCAATTAAACATACAGCAGGTAGCGCGCGTGTAGTACCGACAAATGTATTTGAAATTTATATATCATTCAACTTCAATGAATGTATTTTCATTCCTAATTAAACAGTGTAATTCTTCCAAATTTCAAACGATATTATTTCCATTGTGGCTGAAACGTGCTGGGACCAGCTAATTTATAATAAAATAACTTGCTGGTTCATCCCAGGAAGGAAGTATTTTTCGAACCAGTCGTCTTTCAATAAATATAACCGTTACCGGTATAGCTAATTAGATTTCACTGCTAAACATAACCATAGATTGTCTCATAGGGTCATTTGCCATAGTTAGCACGCTTGCCAAGCGGATTGGCAACCGCAGTTTTTTATTTCTAGTCGTTACAAGGAAACGCGCTGCCCATCTCCTGATTTTTTTCCTTCTGTCGTCTCTTACGACGCACACGAAATGATTGAGATTGAGTAATACACGATCATATTAAGTCATAGAATACTATAATACATAATAGAATGGCCGTCAACCTTATTTTGTACGACGATAGGTGGAGCCCACAAACGTCGTATTATCACTACTGCAAACCAATCGGGTTTTTAGTAACGCTGTGTTGACAGACAGATTTTAATACATATTTATTTATAAATAGCGTGCAACTTGGCATTTTCTAAATAATTTGCGTGGGGAATTTGGAAACGATTGTAACGACAAAACACATCTCGTGTTGACATTTATACGTGTGAATTGACGTGTTAGTGACATTTCAGTGGCTACACGGGCTCCGCCCACTCCCTCGTTCTATTATGTATGTATTATAATATTCTATGTATTAAGTATTACCTGTTCTATGCGACGTCATCCGCGTGTAGTTAATTTATTACGATTGGATTTCATGGGTTTAAATTTTTTTTGCACAGAACCATAATACTATTGCTAGAATAAAAGTAGGATAAACTACTTTTCATAACATCAGCTCCAGTGGAAGTCCCGTAAAAATCGGTCCAACTATTTCGGAGAATATAAATAATAGCCGAAACAAACAGACAGTCAGACAAAAATTTTATCATTTGTATTTTGTTATAAGTACCGTATTTATACTTTTATATGCATTTAGTAAAAAGCTGTTATTTTGACATCACAAACAGACACTTCAATTGTATCGATTTGTATAGATTATATAATTATTTTATTGAATAAAAATTATTCTATTCTATTCCATCCCATAGGTTGTAACATTATTTTTTTTTTATAGAAAATGTTTCGCTACTTGGTTTTGTTCTATTTCGTCGGCCAGCTACATAACGCTCAGGGAAGCGCAGTAAACAATGATGTGGTTAACGACAAACAACTGTTATTAGCATTTGTTGTAAGTATTCAATTCTTTTTTGTTAAAAGCTTCAAATTTAACCCTATAAAGTCTTTTAAATTAGTTTTTTCTATCTCGAGAATTTCCTTATAGTAAAAGAAAATATTAACTATCCATCGAATGTTAATTTATATCATTCTCGAAGGTCAACCGGCATGGAGAACGGACGCCTGACGCTGATGAACTGTCGCTTTCCAACGAAAAAGAGAAACTGAGAAAGCTTACAAGTATTGAAGGTCTCGAAGGACTAACAAATGTAAGTATTTTCATTAGGTTTTAGAACTTCTTTTTAGCCTAGGAGTCTATCTTGGTAGATAACACCTTGTTATCTTTTTCTGTCATATCTTGTTTTTCATCTCATATCTTTATTTTTCTAGGATAGGGTGACAAAGGAGCACACAGTCCACCTGATAGTAAGTGGTTGCTGTGGCCCATTGACATCTACATCTATCCTCGATTACGAATCAAAATGCAGATGCGTTGTCACGCTTGAGGACTAAGATGGAATGCCTAGTTTCCAGTAAAAACGGTCTCCGGTTCTCTACATTCACCATACGAAACACAACAGCATTAAGCTACCATTTTACGCTGGTATTCCGTGAGAGCGTGGTCCTTCCCCGGTCGAGCCTACCTATTCGTGCTACAACTATGCACAAAAACAGTCCACTCAAGTTTCCAGATTAGCAATAGTAATGCCAGAGGCAGATAAAAGGTAAACATGTCAAAACAAGTCATATAATAAAATCAATATTGCAATATCTATATTTATCGGTTTCCACCAGGTATCCCTGATATTTCCTTAAATTGACTTACGACACTGAGATGAAACGAGATAATCAATTCTTGTAATCTATTCATCGATCACTAATAAAAAAACTATTAGTGATCGATGAATCTTTTAGAGATTTTTCCTAATACAATTTAGACCAGGAGAGTAGCCAGCCCCTAATAAGTCATTTAACAAAATATATCAACTCAAAAACATTATACCAGATGTTTGGGCACCACTACCCGATGGCCTCAACATTATGTTACATTATACCTAATATTAGGACGCCACTAAATCAGTGGCCGCAACATTATAACAAATGTTGGTGCGCCACTAAATTGGTCTACCGAACATTATATCGAATGTAAGGGCCCCTCTAAATCAGAGGTACTGTATATTCGATATAATAGATAGAGCATATATTATGTCAGAAGTGTTTGCTATCTATTTTTTCTTTGTATAGAATCTATACTTCAAACAAAAATAAACACCAACCGTAACCATGAAAAACAGTAATCAAACGATTAAGTTGTTTAGCGGAACGTTAGAGGCCATTTCTTATCTTAAGGTTATTTCCCAGTGTCAACGTAATTAAAGTATTTTGCGTTCAAGTTGAGGTATTTATTATAGCTAAGTAATTTCTCGTTAGAAAGTCATTTTATGAATTTGTTTTTCCAAAGTCTAAATTTTGAATAATTCCATGTTTCAAGACCTCTAGAGTCGGATGTGATATTACGGTTTTAGGTTGATTGTGTGTGTATGTGTAATTAAATTTATGTATGAAGGTTCGTGGTTAATTTTTGCCTCGCATATCTTGAGAACAAATATTAATATCGATATCGAACCACTTTTATTCGGTGTACTTTATGTAATTTTATCAAACTCGATTCATAAGTTGTTTGTGAATGAAATACCTGCTTATTAATAGAAAAAAAGAGAATTCCTTTTGATATTTTTAGTTCGTACTTCGTAACAAACCCTCGCATAATAAAATCGGAATACAATCAGAAAAATATGTGATTATTTGTTGATAGTTACTCATCTCAGGCCAATATATATATGTATTTTATCAGAAGATAATTATATGTGTATTTTATCAGAAGTTTTTTTCGAACTAGTGGTAAATTAAACAAAAGAGTGACCTTCAATATGTATTATTTATAATCTGCATTGAATATAGAAGTTTCTCTCTCTGTTTCTGTCACAATATCTGTACTACTGCGGAGGGAAGTGTAATTACCGTAATGTCGGTTATTTTATTTAAAATGCTATTCCCTTAAGTTTTGTCGTTTATCATTTCTTGATTCATAAATTATTTCAATTTTTCAGGCTGGCAAACGTACAGCCTTCCAAATCGGAAAGTTTATCCGACAACGTTATGGCTCCCAAGGATTGAAGATGTTATCAAACATCTATCTTCAAGATGAGATATCACTTAGGAGTACGGACAAAGAGCGGACAAAAATGACGGCCGAAGTCGCAATGGCGGCCGTGTACCCCCCAGAAAAACCTCAACAGTGGGACGAAGGTTTGGGCAAGGTTTGGCAGCCGGTTCCATACACTGCCGTGCCTTTACGGGAAGACTATGTAAGTATGCTTTTCATTATATGACCTCTGGATAGGCTTGATAATGTAAAATATTCAAAAAGAAAAAAAGAGAAAAATCATGATCCTTGAAGAAAACTTAATAGCAATAGTTTCTCAAATGCGAAATAAGGACGCAGCATCTTGGAGATTGTAGTACTCAAGTACTACGAAAATTACTGTACAGTATACACCCACCAGGGTCTCGGTACCGTACTTTGTAGCAGATTACGAGGGCTATTGACATAATCCGTCTGTCTGAAATAATAATAATGATGACGATGACGATGATTATGTAGTGCAAATACTAAATGACTTCAATCGATAACATATTGAAAGAAAAGAGCGGGTGAATGTTCTTTACTATGTTATTCCAGCTAAGCCGTGTGAACATGGAATGAAAGAAAAATGAAGCATGCACTCAAGTGAACATTCGTTTGAGTGAACCGTCTGTTTCCGCCTTAACTAGGTGATCAATCAATACCTTTTAACTAGAACAATTAAATGAAACGTATTCAATAATATTGAACCTTAATACGACAAATTAAAAACAGTTGAAATCGAATGAGAAATTAATAAGAGAGTAACTGACATAATCATTGCTGCATTAAAACATTTTTTGCATAAATTAGTTCAAAGATTTAAATTAAAGACATTTACATAATATGTTCCATTCATGTTTAATTTGTATAGATGGATCGTGTAGGTCCGACATTCCAATTGGCCAAAATAATGATCCGGAAGCTCTTTTTAGGTTATTTAAAAGTTATATACCTAACATAAGAGCGTTATATATATATATATATATATATATATATATATATATATATATATATATATATATATATATATATATATATACAACGTGTCCCAAAATTCAACGATAAGCCGACACCGGAGGATAGACCTGCCCCGGACTAATCGGGGAAAAAAAGAAAAAAAAATAGATCCCAATTATATTTTAAGTTATATAAAAAAAAATGAAATTCATCAGAAATTGAAACCGTTTATGATATTTTTCACTACCATGACCACAATTTTTTAAATATTTTTGTTTCTTTTTTTTATAGGCAACCTGAATTGCACTGCTATCTACCACAATTCTTAAAAAATCCAGAATAACTCTTGTTTTATCACGAAAATTAATGAAACTTATTTTATTCCCTAAACTTTTTGAAGACTTTTACTTTTAACCAAATTTAACTTATCGTGGTGTAAAAAAAAGTATGAACACTAGTATGGAAAGTTATTTTAAAAATTGACGCAACTAACCAACATTCCAAAATGGTATAATACTCTAGGAAAACAAGTTATAAAAAAATATGGGTCTATTATTTCTTAACAGGGGCCGAATTCCTTAAATTGTAATTGTCAGTAATCACTTTTACTACATGCCCAAAATGGGTTCTTGTTACAATTTCTAAGAATTTTAATGGGGCATGCATACCTTAGATGTTAGAGAGAGATAGATAGATAGAGATATTTACGTTAAAAAGAGACAACAACAGGGCAGGTAGAGAAGCTGTTATTATTCTCAGCAAGTCAGTTCAGTACGCTCTACTCCTTTGTTTACTGCGCACCGTTCCCAATTCATCTTACGTGGCTCTCGTACATACTATCGACTTTTAGCTTGGCTTTTTGGACTGGAATCAACCTGCAAACTTAACTGGCCTGGCATTATTTGGACTGGAAGTGATCTGCAAACTGAACTGACCTGGCATTATCTTGGACTACGATTGTGTGTTTTGTGATTTAGAGTTCTGGCGCATTTTGGACTGTTTGGCGTTTCACATGCCGCAACCGTACACACCACAGGAATACGCTAAAATGCATTTAATCTATGGAGGATGCCGATGTAATGCTAACGCTGCTAGCAGACTGTATCGAAAAAGATACCCAAATGCTCAAAGATATCCTGATTATCGAGTGTTTATTAATATGCATCAAACGTTTTCGGATGTTCGTATGCCATCCAATAGGAGAAGCGCTGGAAGACCTAGATTGGATCGTGATGAAGAAGTTCTCAATGAGATAGAAAATGATTCGACTACTTCGGTACGTGCCATAGAAGAAGCTACAGGAATCCCGAAAAGTCCAAATAATGCCAGGCCAGTTAAGTTTGCAGGTAGATTCCAGTCCAAAAAGCCAAGCCAAAAGTCTATAGTATAGTCAAATAGTATGTACGAGAGCCACGTAAGTTGAATTGGGAACGGTGCACAGTAAACAAAGGAGCAGAGCGTACTGAACTGATTTGCTGAGAATAATAACAGCTTCTCTACCTGCCCTGTTGTTGTCTCTTTTTATGGTAAATATCTCTATCTATCTATCTCTCTCTAACATCTAAGGTATGCATGCCCCATTAAAATTCCTAGAAATTGTAACAAGAACCCATTTTAGGCATGTAGTAAAAGTGATTACTGACAATTACAATTTAAGGAATTCGGCCCCTGTTAAGAAATAATAGACCCATATTTTTTTATAACTTGTTTTCCTAGAGTATTATACCATTTTGGAATGTTGGTTAGTTGCGTCAATTTTTAAAAAAACTTGCCATACTAGTGTTCATACTTTTTTTTAGACCACGGTAAGTTAAATTTGGTTAAAAGTAAAAGTCTTCAAAAAATTTTGGGAATAAAAAAAGTTTCATTAATTTTCGTGATAAAACAAGAGTTATTCTGGATGTTTTAAGAATTGTGGTAGATAGCAGTGCTATTCAGGTTGCCTATAAAAAAAAAGAAACAAATATTAAAAAAAATTGTGGTCATGGTAGTGAAAAATATCATAAACGGTCTCAATTTCTGAAGAATTTCATTTTTTTATATAACTTAAAATATAATTGGGATATATCTTTTTTTCTTTTTTTTCCCCGATTAGTCCGGGGCAGGTCTATCCTCCGGTGTCAGCTTATCGTTGAATTTTGGGACACGTTGTATATATATATATATATATATACTAGAATTGCTCGTTTAAAGGTATAGGATATGTTTGTTTATTTCCAATAATTCATAATTTATTATTGTATTATAGTCACGTATTTTGACACGACAAAGCTACACGCCTGTATTCCACAAGTGTATACTAATGAGTAGTGAGCTACTCGCACCACGTTCAGTCAAAACTATGGGCTTAGATGGAAAATTGTGAAAGAAGTGGTGGCTAATCCAGAGCTTACACAATCACAAACGCAATGGTGAAACATGAAACCTATAAGTCCCACATCAACAAGTGACTATTTCATTATTCCGTAACACTAATATCGTCTTACAAAATTATAACGATGTATCTTAAGAAATTATAATGACGTATAATTATGTAATGATTTTACACGTGGTAGAGCCATGCTGCAGTTATTGCTATTAGTAGTATAGTTGTAGCACGAATGGGTCGGCTCCACCTGGAAAGGACCACGCTCTCACAGAATACCAGCGTAAAATAATAGATTAATGCTGCTGTGTTTCGTATGGTGATGTAGAAACCGGAGACCCTCTTTCCTAGAAACGAGGCATTCCATCTTAGTTCTCACGGATGACAACGCATCTGCATTTTGATTTGTAATCGTGGATAGATGTAGATGTCTATGGGCCGCAGCAACCACTTATCATCATGTGAACTGTGTGCTCGTGTGTTACCCTATCCTATAAAAAATGTAATGGTGTAATGTTTAATAAACTTGAGACATTCTTCAGATTACATTTTCTTTGGCGTTTTAATTAATCTAATATTCAATCTGCTTGTAGTAACAATGCTTATATTTATAATGAATTGTTTACAATTATAAGTAACATCTCTTGGAAAGATGTTTATTTATTTATTATATGTATGACACTGAAGAATACAAGGGGCGAACTAAATGCTTTAGTGTGAAATGGGCGCCAAAATCAGATATTTCACGCTTTATAGGTGCGCAGAAATCTATTTTAGTCATTAAAAACTACGAATATATCCTTACTCTACACCATTTTTTAAATTATTTTGAAAGTTATAGATTTTCTTTAGTGAACTACGATTGCTAAAACACCATTGACACAATTTGGTTTGATACAAAAAGATCGCAGTTTCCTCAAAATCTACTATTTTAGGTACGTCCATTAAGGAAAAAAGCAGTTTCATTCGAATGTAATTTAATCAATTTTAATTAAATTCTGTCTATATGTTCACCAGTAAATGCTTGGGTAAAATAATGAGTTTATTTCCCGATAAAAGAGTATATTTCATGCTAAAAAGAAATATCAAATAAATATCGTGCAATAAAATTGCGCGCGGGCCGGCCAAACAGGAGAATGTCGCCGCTCCTCACTCGTGACCACGATACTATTTCGCCTTAAGGCATTCTTTGTCAGTCAACGCATGGACTGGTGAGAAATTGACGTAGGTGTAGCAATATAGAAAACAAAATAAGATACGTCTATTTGAATAATTATTGCGCATAATTCAAGTTCAGTAAATAGACAATAGTTAGTCTTATCACTAATTGAATGATAAATGCCACGCAGATACAGCGTGATTAGTTGTTAGCATTCAGATCTTACTTGGTTTGTTTGTTAAATAAGATTTCAACTTGAACTTAACAATCATAATTATGTCATTATTGGATTCCTGACGTTTATGTCAGGAATGAAGTTTATTTAGTTTTGGACAAATCGTTACTGCTAAACAAACAATCTTATTCAGATCTGACGAGTAATTATAATTACCTGGTCTTATTACCTTCATAAATTCATAAAGTATGCCAATGATTAGTCATACAACTAAATATTGCTACTAGGACAGAAACATTATATTCTACGTATAAATAAAACATTCGTAGGTTAGGTTACCTTGAGTAATTTTTATTCAATGTACTCGTAGATCACGAGAAAATATAATAAAAATATTGAAAGTCATTTATTATTTTACCACTGGTTCAGAAAAACCTCTGTCGTGGGAAGAATCAGCAGTAAACCCAGCAGGACTCTTTTTTTAAACATAACATACGGTATAATATGTTGTATAATTATATATGAAAACATTTAGAATAGCATGGCAGCATAGTATGGCGTTCACTACGTCACTAAAATAGGTTTCTTTCGCACAGTGTCTCACTAATTATTTTCAGGACTATAGTAATATCATATTCATTTCGTACCTTTTTTAACTTCTTATCAATTAAATATGTTAAAATTAATAAGCTAAGGTTCGCGTAAAAATAATGATGTGTCCTAGCTTGAAGCGCCCTCCTCTTGAAGAACCTCCCGCTCTCTCTCAATTGTATGATCCCTCAACAACACTACACTAGGAAAAACACACCACCATTTATAATACGATACGTGTTTTATCTTCTAATAGTATAAAATATAAAGTTACAGGGTTTCTTGCTGGGTCTTCCCATGACAGATGTTTTTTCCTAACCAATGATAAATCATATGTTTTTTTTATTATATTACGTTCTATTCCAGTCTATTCTATCATATTCTATCCTATTCTATCCTATTCTATCTTATTCTATTCTGTTTTATATAACACATTTTCTGGGAACATAGACGTTGCGATGGTTGACCGTGACCGCTAAAACGCAAAAAACTGTTATGCCTCTCAGAGCTTATTTCTCTTCACCAATAATTTTTACGTCTTAAATAGCAAAGTAACAACAAGTAAAAACTGAATAAAAAATGATATATATATATATATATATATATAAAATAAAAAGTGCAACAGGCGGTCTTATCGCTCTGAAAGCGATTTCTTCCAGGCAATCCTTGTTTAGCAATCTTTGTTATTTACAGCGAATTGCAAATAGGGAAGGTTTACTTATGTAACCATTTGAAAATTAAGTTAGAATAAAAAAAATATAAACACAAGATGATAGAGGTTCAGGATTTGTAGGATGGATATAATTGGAGACGGGAATTATGATGGGAAGTATTAGAGTTCCAAGCAATAAGTTTTGAGTAGATTTTCGAAGGAAAAAAGGTACTAAGCACGTCGAATGTATAAAGACAAGGAGTTCCAAAGGCGTACAGCTGTAACAGAAAATTATTTATTGAAGAAAGGGACACTTTTTACTCCGTCTTCTTCTTTTTTTAATTGACTTACTTCTGTTCTTTTAGTTATCATTTCTTTTTTCTCGTCATCAGCCCGTGAACGTCCAACGATGAACATAGACCTCTCTTGCTGTTGGGAGAACACATGATTACTGTACCAGACATACCTTTGACGCTTTTTCCCGTCGCCGGTCGGGGTATTTTACGTTCTGGCATAGACAAGATGATAATACTGCCACATATTGCAAGCAATAAGGTCTCTCTAACATCATACATATCCCATAGTCGCCTCTCATGGCTCTCACGGGACAAAGTGGGGTGATAGATTCTCTTACCACACAGTAATTTATATTTTTTAATTTTGATTAACTTACCAGCGTAACATTGAGTTAGCCTGTAGTGACGGTGTAAAATATCCACTACCCCATATCATCCCTTTGTTTTTTTTATAGTATAGGGTGACAAACGAGCACACAGTCCACCTGATGGTAAGTGCTTGCTGTGACCCATAGACATCTACATCTATCCTCGATTACGGATCAAGATGCAGATACGTTGTCACCCGTGAGTACTAAGATGGAATGCTTGGTTCCAGTAAACAGGGTCTCCGGTTCTCTACACTCACCATACGAAACACAGCAGAATTAAGCTACTCTTTACGCTGGTATTCTGTGAGAGCGTGGACCCATTCGTGCCACAACTATACTTCTAATATAACTGCAGCATGGCTCTACCACTTATAATATTGGTGTCATTGAGGCGACAGAGGGAAACTCAACCAGAAGATGGGCAGTAGCATTTTCATGATAACATTTGAATTAAAGTAACTGCGCTTAGCAAGTGTGGCAACTATGGCAAATATCCATACTATGAGGCATTATATGGGTAAAGACTTAGCGGTGGAACTTAGTAGGCTGTGCGGTATCGTTAATACTTATTAAAAGTCAATATTTATTATGTACGACTGGGTCGAAAAACAACTGTGTGCGTGGGAAAGAAATAGCAATATTGACAAGAATAAAGATGTTAATACTTTGAACACTAAAAACAAACATAAGCTTGTAATGATAGTTACTAGACTCCACAGAATTAGTAACTTATTTATGGAGCAATATATACGCTTTTACAACAAAATCCCATGAAATGTACAAAATTTGTCATTAAACAAGTTTAAATGTTTTATTAAAGAAAAATTGTGCAAAATGGGTTATTATAATATCAAACGAATGCATGAACGAAAATAACCCCCGGGAATCTGGAGATCGCCACCATGGTTTCATAAACATTAGTTTAAAATCAAAAGAAAGTGATATGTTTAAAAAAAGTTTCGCGGGGATTCTTGCTGGTTCTGTCTAGCACATAAGTATTATACGAACCAGTGGTAAACAAAAATGACTTTCAATAAGTATTACGTAAAAATCTACGTTGATTAAAAATCATTGTATCAATCACTGTTCACGAACACTGTAGTTGAATTATTCTATTTTCAGCTGCGCTATTACTCCAACTGCGAAAAGTTTAAAGAATTAATGGAAAAAGCTAAAAAAAGAATCGATTTATGAAGAGTTCGCTGTGTTCAACGATCTGATCCCTACGCTGAAAGCCCAAACAGGGCGTAACTTCACTGAAAATCCACTACTGTTCCAGACAATCAACGATTTGTTTAGAAGTCAGGTATGTAGTACATAATAATAGTATTTGTTTGAAAGTATTTGTTTGTTCCTCTGATGCATTAAAACACATAAAACAAACGGACATAACTGCATCTCGAGTATATTCTTATTGTTGCGATGAGACCACCGTAGCGCACGAACTTAACATTACACTAAAAATATCAAATATCGTAAAAACTGTAGTGTCGTGTTTGAGGGACCCGTAGTTCAAACCACACTTTGTAATAAGCCAGACAATATTTATTATTAACTCTACTCTATAGTTAATTTACAACGTAGCGTAGTATTTCATCGGGGTTTGTTTTAAAATTAAATAGTACTTCAATCAACAATTTTAGATTTCCGGCGGCAACACTGAAATTGTTACTTGCTGTTATAAGGAACGATTTAGTATGAGTTAGGCAAAAAGATAAACTGCAAGGAATACTGCCAGACCAGATAAGTATATAGGTAGGATTTAATGATTCCTTATATTTACGCGAACATTACACATTTAAATAAAACTAGTTATTTTCAGGTTTTATCGCGTATATTAACATACTTTATACTCTCGACGTTTCAAGCACTTTACAGCACCGATGGTCATGGGGGAAACTGAGGTGTTGGACGTTGTAGTTAACCACTGCTAGCTCCAGATTAAATTTTTAATTTTCGTTCCGATCTACGCAGCATAGTATCTTGAATTCTTGCAGTTGTATGCCTGGGTTGGGTAATGATTTCTTATATTTACGCGGAAACTACACATTGATTAAAACTACTTTTACGAGTTTTATCCCGTTTAATTTATTTCTTTTTTAATTCTCGACGTTTCAAGTGCTTTCTAGTACCTATGGTCACGGGGGACTGAGGTGACTGGCGTTCCGATGTTACTGTTAACCTGCAGTACCTTCAGCTTTTAAATTGTTTATTCTGCGTAGATCGGACCATACTTACAGGCTTGCAATATGTTTTTATGTAAGTACGTTTGAATATGTAGTCTTGTCAGTGACACCTCTGGCTTATTGCAGTACAGCAGGCACACACTGGACTGCGGCCGGCTTCACTCGTTCACTGTTACGTAGGCGCGGGTCTCAAACCTTGCTGTCGTCCAAAACTTGCTTGACGTGTTGGAGCTCGGCGGCCAAGTGTTTACTGACATAGGTCCCTCGTGCAATAAAGATTTTCTTACGGTAGCTAACTGTAAAGTACGTTAGTGAGAATCACCGTTTACATATCTATCTGTATGATTATTTTTTCTATACACAGTATGGCTCAAGGTGTTATCGGGATTCCGAATTACTAACACATCTAGAAAAGCTAAACAATTGTTTGCTGTACCCCTGTGTATGGCAGCCCTCCTCTGGTTGGAGTGACAACCTGACCAATGAAAATAATTTGATTTCTTAACATTGTAATTGATTTTTCAGATCGCCCTCGGCTTGGGCGTACCGCAATGGGCCAAGCCTCTTCTACCACGACTTAGTGAAGCATCGCGATTAGCGTATAGGTTGTATTATAAGACTGATGAAATGAAAAGGATTGGTGGAGGTAACTATTTTATATCATCATAATTATTAAAGTAATGTTTAATAAGGGTTATTATGCTACTAAAGAGTATATATATATATATATATATATATATATATATATATATATATATATATATAATCGCTGCCATGCTTTTTTTTAAATATTATTTTGTAAGTAGGTAGGATCTATTAAAGTAGCATTACTAGGATTTGATTAATGAAAATCTCTAAATTTTTCGGGAAAAGTATATTTTATTTCACTCCGGGAATTTATCTTTAATTGTTTTTAAAGTTTCATTACTATCGCTTCAGGCAGACAGAGCATAGTTGGTCTCGTGAGCACTTGGCAGGCGGTTTGACAACAGCAGTTTTTTACTCTTTTCATTTTGATTTGTTATCAGGAATGCTACAGCTCATCTTCTTTTATATTTCCCTCTATCGCCTCTCACAACGTCCACGGTATGATGGAAAGTGGATTATCTTACACAACAGTGTAAGACAATCCGCTTTATAATAATATGTATCACTTATAATAATATACAACACTTTATGATAATAGTAACGACTACACGAGAATCTAAAACTACAGACATAAATTAGTAATAAAAATAATATTAGTACGTATTCAATCCATTTAAAGAGTTTAGACTTATTCTAAAATGCCCCGTTATTCCATCAATCCATCATTAAAGGTAAGTCTATGAGTTTTGTAAGTTAATCCAAATGACCACCATACGGGCAGGTCTTCAAAGTAGTCTCGTCTAAAAAGTCATGCCTTGTTTTGTACGTTGGTCAAATTTAAAATTTAAATTAACTTTTCACAGGTGTTATGTTAAACGATTTCATCTCAACTGCAAACGAGATTATAGCTGGCAAGACCGTCACGAAGAGGTTCCGTTTATTCTCGGCCCACGACTTCAACATTGGTGCCCTGATGGACGTTACGAAAGTCGTGAAGAGCGAGCAAATCGTCCCCGAGTATGGATCTTTATTTGCTATTGAGCTGTACAAATCCAAGAGCAATGGAGAATTCACTGTTTTGGTAAGTTAACACTGTATTTAACGTAAAATTTATTAAGTGTTAATGCTCTTTTTTGACTAGTAGTCGGTCTGCATAGGAAACACACTCGTAGTTATTTCTGTCGCCAAATAGCAGTGCTTGCGCTACTGTGTACCGGTCTAGAAGGTTTTAAGAGCCGAAATATTTACATGTTATTAGGCCATTTTAATCCTCACAGGATTCTTCAATAGTAGTTTCGTAAGAAGTTGGCTGTAAGTGTACCGGTACTGAAATTTGATATAAAAAACTTTACTCCTGTCATCTAGAGGGTTTTCTCAAAGGCCGGCAACGCATCTGCTATTTCTCAGGTTTAGCAGGTATTCATAGACGGCGCCGATCACTTACCATCAGTTGAACCATAGTTGCTTGCTTCTATGCTGTTAAATAAATACACTGCAGTAAGCAAAGACTACGGATTTTTATGGCACTTTCTCGATTTCTCAATTTCTTGCTTGAGTCTCATTAGTTGTTGGCAGTAGAGATCCGAATGGATGGTTTTACACGGTGGTAAAGGCTTGTTAAACGATGCCTTTCCAATCCCACCAAACGCACAGCATCACCTTATTGCGTGTTAATCGGGGTTTCGCTACAGTCTGTGGAGCTAGACTTCCCTTTGACCATGATCTTTTTTGCACTTTCTTATCGTAGGTGATCCACTTCTCATCACTAGTAATAAATCTTTTCTAAAATTGTTTTGTTTTCATTACGTATCAATAGAGAATCGCAAATGAGTACACGTTTCATTAGGTTTCTTTCAGTGAGCCAAATATCGAGCTTTTTTTTCAAGCGTTTACAACGTGTTGTCATCAAAATTCCCGGTCTGAAAACGCTTGAAAACCAGAGTAGTAGAGTGTTTTTCAAATGGGTCAAAACTGTTTTGTGGTCAATCTTCAATTCCTCGTTTATGTCGTAAGTATTAATATGCTGAATTTATATAATAAACGTATTGAAACGGCGTAACTTGAAAATAAAAGGCAATTAATGAATGTTATACTTACGGAGACCATTTTTAATATGCTGATCTTGCACTATTTTCTCAAAAATGGCATCATCTTTATCCATGTGAGGGCAACCAGAGCGAGCTGCATCTTTGTCATCAAAATTCCCGGTCTGAAAACGCTTGAACCAATTTTGGGCTACTTTTACTGACACCACGTTAGGTCTTCCACTACTTAAAACTTCAGAATGTAAACGTTAGATTCACTCATCTTGGAGGAGAGAAAAACAATTGAAAGAAGGCGGGATAGTGTTTTTTTAATTTTAATTTTTCTTTTTCTTAATTTCCTATATGTATTGATACTAAAACCAGCCAGATACATGAAGTACAACCTTATTACTTGACAAAGGTTAGGGAAAATTTGGTGGTGTTCGAACAAATGTTGTAAAGACCAACAAGAGTCAACTTAAAAAAATCAAGTTGGCGGATCTAAGATGGCGAACAAAAACCAACAATGACGCAATAAATGAAATGAACGAATTGAGAAACATGTCCAGCGGTAACTAAAAATAAAAAATAAATTAATAGTAAAAACATTTCTTATTTGAGATATATGCCCTAAAAATTACAATTTTTATGTCATATAAATTGTGTAATGATAAATTTAAAGGTTGGATTTAATTTAAAGTTCATTTTCTTTTTTCCAGACGTATTCAAATAAAAGCTTGTTTTAAAAATGTTTTTTTTACTATTAAATTGTTATACAAACAAAATAAGAAAATGACCGTGACCATGGGTGCTGTAAAGTACTCGAAACGTCGGGTATTTAAAAAGTTAAATATACGCGATAAAATCCGTAAAAATTAGTATTATTTAAACGTGTAGTGTTCCCGTAAATATAAGAAATCATTAAATAAGAAAATGCCTTTCGATACATCTTCTGTATGTCTATTAATTTTATATGTGTCGATTATTCAAGTATAATTTTTATTTACCCGCCATAACGCACAGAGAAAGAAAACGACAAACGAAAGCCAAGAAAAATAATTTATCTTGAATAAAACAAAATGGAATACAAACTTTTTTGTATTGATCTACATCATCTAATTCCTCTATAAACCTGAACAAGTCTACTGCTAAACCTGACCTGCATCCATCGTCTTTCTGCATGTCTTACCAAGTCGTCACTATTCCTAGTGGGGGCAACCTTACACTTCGCTTGCCAGTACGTGTCTGCTGATTGGATTTAAAATCGTTTGGCAGGAAATTGGGGGAGTAAGATGTTTTATTTGGTAGAGGTTTGGTCCCCGATTATAATAATACCACTCACATTAAAAGGCATTATCTAAAAATAAATAAAAACGATTATAACCTAAAATGCGTAAAGTATGGAAAATTATACATTTTTTATTGTTTAACTGACTTTACGGCTTTGGGTTCTAGCCCTTCTGAGAAAAAATTATACGGTACCTACTATGAAAGCTGGATAGCATACAGAATTTTGTGGTTGTGGTGGGAGCAAAGGCAACCTGACTTTATAGATATCTGATCTGATCGAGTCTGTACTAAAATTAAATCAGCACCCCCCGAATCCACGTAGTCTTGTTTACCCTATACCTAAAGTATTTTTGTAAAGCCGTATGCGCGGAGGGAGAGCAGCCCCTGCCCGTCGTAGCAAATCGCAGGCACCTGTGTGAGCCGTAGTGTGCTTATTATTATATTATATATTATGTTTATAATTTATGAAGTAATTATAAAAGCTAATATTTTGGTGTTTTGTTGAGTGCAAGAGCGAGCGAAGTGAGCTCGTGACTTAGGGCACTCCGACTCGGATAGGTTAGGTTAGAAGGAGATGGCGGGGTCGAGTGAGCGAACGAAGTGAGCGAATAGACCCCACCATTCCTTTCGTGGTTATTTTTTTGTAAACCACTCAGAAGTAGGAGCCCCGCAAAGGCTCCGTCGACTGGGCTTCCCTCTACTGCGCTACTTGGTGCTTCCCTCCCCCAACTCTCTTCCCCCATAAATCAGGTTTATAGTCAAAAACATTACAAAAACATAACCTCGTAATTAGATTTTTAAAAATTTGTTTAAAAAAAAAACTAAGCATGTCCAGCAGGGTGTGGAAGTGGGGGGCGGCTCTTCAACTCCCCCGTCTCCCACTGCACCACCTCTCACCCCCTTATTCATTTTAAGTTATCATTTTGAGGTTAATTCTATAGGATTTCCTTTTTGATTTTTTCAAGAACGGTGCATTAAATTTTAAGGTAAGTGGTATTATTATAATCGGGGACTAAACTTCAACCAAATAAAACACCTTACTCCCCCAAATTCCTGCCAAACGATTCTAAATTTTAACCGAGTCTGCCACTCGGTAAGCTTTCTTCCCAGTTCATTGTCAGTTGACCTAACCTACGATAACGTCAATAAGCCTCTAAAACAATGTAGTTGACGAGTGTTGAATAATTATTTTTGTTCCAGCCGGTGTATCTGCCAAAAGCTGGTGAGTCGGACGCCCAGTACCTGCACTTCACAGGCTGCGAAAACAACAATTACTGTAATTACAAACATTTCGCCGATCTCACCAAGGAGTACCTTCTACCAGAGAAGGAGTTTTACAAAATCTGCAACATCAAGACGGAACTGTAGAAACCCGAGTTGAGTTTGTCGTTCTATATACAATATGTAAAAAACACCTTGGCGGATCCATGAGGATAGTTTTAGATTCGATTTCCAGTTATGTGTTAGCGGTATCTGTGTACTATCTCTTTCATATGGAACAGGGTGCTTTTACATATTGTATTATTACGGACATGTATTTTAAACAATAAACGTATTGAAATGGCGTATACTTAAAAATAAAAGGCAATTAAGGAATGTTATACTTACGGAGACCCTTTTTACTGGAAACGAGACATTTCATCATAGTCTTCAGGGGTGACAACGCACCTGTATTTTGATTTTGAATCGAGGATAAATGTAGATGTCTATGGGCCACAGCATCCACTTACTATCAGGTGGACCGTGTGCTCGTTTGTCACCCCTAATCTATGTAAAAAAGACAAGTCTACATATTATATATATTTTTTAATTCCTGTCATGAATTAATGTAAAACATTAGTTTTTGGAAGTCCAAATTTAAAAACAAATAATTGAAAACAATAATTAGCAATTCTAATCTGCTGGAAAATAAGTATTGTTTTTCTTTAAGAATATTATCGATGAATTTTTATAAAATATATATTTAATGTTATTATTTCAGTAAGAACGAGAAGTCTGTGATAATTACATTTAATATTGTATTACAAAGGAAAATATTGTTAGTATAAAATGCATCAGTGTGTGTATTTTTAAGTTCTCCAATATTTGATATTACGTCTTTCGAAAACAACTTCGCCAGCCAAGCCAGGTAATTAAATCAACAATTTTAATAAAAAATATAAGAGAAAAATAAATGAAAACGATTTAAAATTGGAAGTGTTTATTTATTGCTTGTTCCCGTCTGTGTGTGTTAAAATAATTTCTTTAAAATATTAATTTATTATAAAATACGTAAAATATTTTAATTTTTTTCGCAAAGAAGTGTCTTTCAACGAGAAATACCTTTTTTAATAGAGATGAACCATTCTATCGTAGTTCTCGTATATGGTATCGCTATTAAAATGCATATGCATTTTGATTCTTAATCGAAGATAGATGTATGAGCCACAGTATCTACTTACTATCATGTGGACTTAGCTCTCGTTTGTCGCCCTGAAAATATTAAAATGGTCATAAAGTTCTTTAATAAAAATGTTTTATAGTAAAACGGAAAGGTTACCAACTTAAAAAAAGAAACGGGTTAAATGCTTCAAGAAAAGAGCTTACTCTTTTCTAAAAGGCCGGCAACGAACCTGCAATTCCCCTGGTGTTGCGGTTTTTCATGTTAAAAAAATTTGTTGCATTACCCCATAGCAAGATTCCATATGACATTATGCTAAGGAAATAACTAAAATAAACTAATCTAGCTGTTTCAACACATGTACGGCCTCTATCGTTTTTAGAGCATATGCTCTAGAACTAAGTTTGCTAGCTAGTTTAGATATATGAGCCCACTTCAGATGTGTTTTAGTCGGTTGTAGCGAGAGTGGTGTCCTCTCTCCTCCCCTAACGCTGCAGCCAAAGTAGAGACGAGGGATAATAAGGGAAATGTTTGTATAGCGGTGCACCACTTGCCCTATTCTCCGCGATTCTTGTTGCCGCACCAATGGTGGGGCCGCAGAGGACGTGAGCGACCAAAGCATGTTTGGCTGCGGAACCGCAGACCAGATCTAGCGCTGGGGTAGGAAAGCTGGTGTTTCCGTTTGATCGCTCTTTTCTGACTTATGGCCTCTGCATCGGGTTCGGGGGTGGTTCCTTAAGGAGTAAGAAGCTGCAAAGGAAGGCGTGGCTTGTGTTTCCAGTACACCTTAACTAAGAAGGAAAAAGGAGAGGCGTTGTCCTCTCCCATGTAGGGGCTGGCATGGGGCAGCTGGCGTCAGTGGGGCAACGGATGTGTACGAAAGCGATCGCGTGGCCTTGCCAATATGAGTCGAAAGTGGAGAAACATGGGGATTAAGTCTGTGCTATTCATCCTTGCGTTTCCATATTTTAAAAAAGGCAACACCTGAGTACTCACTCAAGCGTATCTAAAGTGCTAAACTTGTGGGTTTAGTCGTAAGCACATACCCCAACTTTCGGCGGGAGAGTTTAGCACACATCTCTGCTCTCTATTAACATATTTCGACAAGATAACGTGGATAATAATCGATGAACTCGCCGACTATTTTAGCCAAGTCTGTCATGATCTTTGAGCTCTTCTTTTAACATGAAGAAATGCCTACATAATTACCTTCGTCGCCGGGGCAAGAACAGGTTATGTCAGACTCGTATCGACTAAAACTCCACGGTATTCCACCTTCGTCTCATATTGGCGTGGCCACGGGAACGCTTTCGCACACATCCGCGGCCCCACCAGTGCCGGCCGCCCCATGGTGGCACCTCCTTGGAAGAGGACTATTCCCTCCTTTCTCTATTCTCAACTAAGACACATGGTGCGCCTTCCTTCACGGCCTCCAACTACACTGGCGCAACGAACTCAACTGTATCTCCCATTGTCGCCGATATATTCGTGGAAGACTTTGAGGAGAAAGCTTTCCTTACTGCACATCTTACGATCGTCGTTACTACCATTTCAATTAGGTCCTGTTTAGTCCCAGATTCCTTTTTAGGCACTTCCTTTAATTCGAAGTTAGTCCTGCGAGATGAGAGCTGCAAATCCTCCAGTTTATCCTTCAGGAACACGATATATTCCCTATCTTCCCATGAACGATCTTCAATAGCCAATTATACTTCTATGCTTTTGTTCATCATTATCACCATCATTACAGCCCTTCACAAGTCTACTGCTGAACATAGGCTTCCCCCAAGTAATGCCACAAAGCACGGTTCTGAGCCGCCTACATCCATCGACTTCCTGCATGTCTTATCAGGTCGTGACTCCATCTAGTGGGGGGTCGCCCTACACTACGCCTATCGGTTATCGGTTCTTCGAGCTACATGGCCGGCCCATTGCCACTTCAGCTTACTAATCCGTTGGGCTATGTCGGTCACTCTGCTTTTACCGCGGATATGCTCATTCCTGAGTCTATCACTCAGAGAAACTTAAGCATAGCCCTCTCCATAGCTCGCTGAGCGACTTTAAGCGTCCTCATACGGCCAGAAGTGAGTGCAGTGAAGGACCAAGTCTCAGATCCGTATGTCATCACTGGCAACACGCACTGATTGTACAATCTAGTTTTCAGAGTTTGAGGTATACCTGACGAGAAGATGTGTCTTAATTTCCCGAAAGCTGCCCAGCCGAGTTGAATCCGTCGATTGACCTCTCGGTCGAAGTTGGACTTACCTAGTCGGACTATTTGTCCAAGGTTAACTTGCTCGTCAACAACTTCGAGCGTAGTGCTCCCAACAACTACCGGCATAGGTGTGACATGGACATTAAACATGATCTTTGTTTCGTCCATGTTCATCTTAAGACCTATCCGTTGGGAGACACCATTGAAGTCATTGAGCATAGTGCTTAGGTCCACCAGCGATTCTCCCGTAAGGACTATATCGTCGGCAAATCGAAGGTGAGTAATGTACTCGCCATTGACGTCCTCTTCTCTGTCTCCTTGTTCGATGTCTGCTTTCCAGTCCAGTAGCTTGAAAACGTCTTCCAATCCAGCGGTGAAGAGTTTCGGGGATATAACGTCACTCTGTCTTACACCGCTCTGCAGTTGGATAGGTTTCGAGCTCTGATTCTATACTCGGATAGCCATCGTAGCCTTACTGTACAAACACTTCAGCACTTCAATATACCGACAGTCAACTTGGCACCGCTGAAGATACTGTAGCACCGCTCAAATTTCGACGGAATCAAAGACTTTCTCATATTCCACATACGCCTGGCAGAATGGCAGATTGTACTCTTCGGTCTTCTGTATAATCTGCCGCAGGGTATGGATGTGGTTTATGGTACTGAAGCCTTTTCGGAAACCGGCTTGTTCGGGAGGCTGGAAGTCGTCGAGTCTGCGTGCGAGACGTTTCGTAAAGACTCTCGAAAACAACACGTAGACGCGGCTCGGAAGGGAAATCGGTCTGTAGTTCTTCAAGAGAGCGTTGTCGCCTTTCTTAAAGAACAAAAGAACAAGACCACCGCAATTCTGCTCCACGCTTCCGGAGTAAGGCCACCATGGAGGACAGAATTGAAGAGCTTCTGAAGGACTTTAAGTACCGGTGTTCCATCTGCTTTCAGAAGCTCCGCTGTAATTCCATCATCGCCTGGGGCCCTGCTGTTTTTAAGGTGCTGAAGAGCCATCTTAATCTCACTCAGACTGACGTCCGGAATATGATCAGAATAGTGTCGGATAAGACTTGCTCTTGGATCGTTACTCACACTTGCGTGTGGCTCCAACGATGATGTGTACAGCTGGCCATAGAACCTCTCAATCTTACTCAAAATCTCAGGTGTCCCGGAAACGATGCTGCCACACTCAATCTTCAGCTTTGACAATTGGCTCTTTCTGGCAGGTAGATCTCTGGCAAAGAAGACCTTAAAGCCCTGATTCCGCTCGATTGCTTCTTCAATACGAGCAGTATTAAAGTTGCGTAAGTCTCGCCGCATGCATCAGGAGATCTGTGGTGCTTCACTGCTGGCAGTATGAGGACACTCAAGTTCGCTCAGCGAGCTATGGAGAGGACTATGCTCGGAGTTTCTCTGCGTGATAAACTTAGAAATGAGGATATCCGCAGTAGAACCAGAGTAATCAACATAGCCCAACGGATTAGTAAGCTGAAGTGGCAATGGGCCGGCCATATAGCTTGAAGAACCGACAACCGTTGGGATCAAAGACAACAAAGTTATATTTAAACATACTAAATTGCAATTACGATTGTATTTGTTTAACTGAAACAAACTTAAATCATACTGTATTTGATAATGAGCTGTACATTGTATACCGGAGAGACCGAGAGTCTACTTGTATTAACAAATCTGAAGGTGGAGGTGTACTGATAGCTATAAAAAAAGGAGTTTAAGGTAATTCGCCATAAAGAATGGGAGAGTGACATTGAAGAATTGTGGATATCGG